TTGTGGCACGTGGTGTGTAGCCCCTGGCCATTTCTTCCCTTTCTTTTCGATCCGTTGACCCTTGTCAACATGCATGAGATGTACTCGTAATATGTCACAATAAAATAAGGTGAAAATCATTATAGTTTTTATTTCAGGGTTTACAATACGTAACATGTTATGCAAAGGGATCTATATCACTTCCCGATAAAAACTGCATCGTCTTTAACCCTAACCCTAAATCAAAATAGCCCTAACAATACATGCCGCAAAAACTATTTCAGCATCAATTTTTTGTAATTGAGTTACCACTGCGGTTTCATGATAAAGATCCATTCCGAAATAGTTTTTGCGGCATGTATAGCACTAACTTTAAATGGACCAATCTTAACTGTGAATGACAGATTCGCTAAAGCCCGTAAACATTCACAAAAAGGAATAAATGAATGAATGAATGAGCGAATGAATTCTGTATAAACGAATTGGATGAATGAATGAATAGATGCGTATAATCAATTGGTTATACAATTTTTTTGTATTCAACAAAAGTTGATTAGTTACTAATCGTGTAGCACGGAACAACGCGTCAGTTTCAGGTCTCATATTCAATTATCAATTTGTTACCCTTTATATCAAAGCCAAGCTCTTAATTGTTGCAAACATATTGTGTTAAACTTATCATTCAAATTTCTCAATGTATCCGTGAGAATTTAAATATGTTAAATAATCGGAACTTGATCACATTCTACTTGCTCTGGACAATATTAAGTTTAGCCTGTAATTGTTCTTGTCTTACTATCTATGTAATTGATGAAAGACAAATCATAATTACAGATAACGCCACCTTTATATCATAAACAAAATTTTTCTTAATTGGATAAGTGGTACACATGGTAGATATCATCGGTTCATGCGATTGTTCAAATCCGAATTTGTTGAATTTGGCTAAAATACACTATGAGGGTGTTTACGTTGCATCCGAAGAACCATCTATTTGATGTAGCCGCTTTATATACTTGAAATAGCACCGGAGAATAAACCCCTAAGATTAGACCTTCATGCACAAATTATGGTCAAGTGCTATTTCAAATATTTAAATGCATTTGTAAATTTAGAAAGCTTAATGGCTTAATTAAGTAACTTATTAAACTAAGCACAAAAAGAAATTTAAAAACCCCTGCAATTTAGAATATTTGCCGGGTTTATGTTTCAGTGAATTTGTCATTTTTGCTGCGTTTGTCACTTCGAATTTTTTTCAAACGTTATAAATAAAAAAGAGATTGTGAACCTGTAATAATAACGACAGAGTATTCAGCTAAAAAAAAAAAAATTTTTTACTAATCTACCCCACTTTCGATTTTGGCCAATCAGAGTGCAAGATCAGGTGTAACGTGACGATCAAAACAGCAATCATAAAATCTCAAAAATTTGTCTGAAAAAAAATTCCTTGTATAATGCCGGCCAATAGGATGTTGGAGGTAAATTAGTAAATCCAAATATCACAACATTTGCATCCGAATCTGTGCCACTCTATTTCATTGTTACGTAATAAAATCACAAGATCGTGTAATTATTATTAATATGACGTTATTTTCAATTTACTTATATGGGAATAGGCG